CACCCTTCCCCCCGGCTCCTGCCCCTCTCAGGGGGTGACCCACCCGGCCCCGTGAGCGTGCGCGCTCGCGCGTATTCGGTGGGGATCCTGTCTCCGCTAGGCGTCTCCAGACCGGCCGGGAACGCGCGGAGAGCAGAACCCACCCCGCTCACCTGGACCTGCCCGCACCCCCTCAGAGGCTTAGTGTGCGCGAAGGGGAGAGGGACGCAGGAGGCCAGAGCACGGGACGATTCCTCTCTCTCAAACTTGGAAACTCCGGCCGGCCTGCTGCTTGCAAAGCCTCCGCCCACGATGCTCGCAGCCACCATAGCCCCTGCCCTCAGGCGGTGTGAGAGACGGAGTGGGGCCTGTGCCCTACAAGTCCACGTGGACCCTCCCTTCCTCTCAGCGCTTCCCTGCCTGCTCTGACTCACAGTACAGCACTGGGCGAACCTGGTACTGGATCGCTCAGGCCAGCTATCGCTCACCCCCGTGTGGCCACCGCAGGAACCGCAGGGGACTGGTGAACCGGGAAACTTGCCCTCTGTGGGCTAACAAAACCTTCCTTATCCCCCACCTCTAGGGTCCTACGAAAATCAGAACAAGCCCCCCGCCGCGGGGAGGCAGGAAAGGGAACCTGGATCGGCTCCAGGATGACTGGAAGTGTGTCTGGCCAGAGTGCGCAGAGCACTGGAAGGTTTCCGCTACTTGGCTACTAGGCCCACTCCTCCCCCAGCCAGGCCCTCCCTTCTTGACACTTCGGTGGAGCACACTCCCCGCCCCCCGCCCTTCCCCCCGAAAGTCCTGGTCTTGCTGGGGAGCCTGAAGTCACTGGTACCTGGGAGGAGGGCAGGCCCAAAGTTGGGAACAGGAGAGCCTTTCTTTCCAAGGCAGGGGCACAGCCACAGGGCCCCTGGCTCTCAGAAAGCCTCGGACTGGCTCCCTCTGTAGTCTGGACCTGCAGGAAGCTCTGGGCTGAGTCTCACCCAATCTCCACCCCAGGGCCCACTTCAGACACAGCCTAGCCTTCGCCCAGAAAGGCTGGCATCTTGGGCCCACAACCTGTCCAGGAAGACAGATGGGCCCTGGCTGAAAAGGAGCCTTGACACTCCACGCCCTTGTCTTTAACAGTGCTTGCTGGTCTCAGACTGCCTCAGTTTCCCCATTAGGAAGCCACTGCCTCTGGGAAGGCCCTGATCAGGACAGCAAGAGTCTCACTTCCAGCTCCCAACCTACCTGCCTCAACATCCAACTGGGCACAAGCTGGACCTGTGCCTTCTGTGGGAGAGATCCTGCCACCTCCTCTCTCTGGTCCCCGAGGCACAACAAATACTCCTTAGCACTTCCTCTGCACACAGCTTCGCCCACCTCTTGGTGCCTGTAACTCTCGAGGCATTTCCATTCTTAGAATCATCCGAGTCAGCTCAGGAAACAGCAGCCAGAGCCAAAAGAGCCCCAACACTGCCCAAGAGGGTAGGGGACTCAGGGCAGGGCAGAACCCCTACTGCTTCTCCACTTGCCTGGTGTAGATTAAGAAGGAAGCCTGGATGGGCTGAGGCTCAGTGGTCACAGTGAAAATACTGTGTGCTTCTGGCTCCCCCCAGACCCACAGGGCCCATTCCAAACACGGGCCCCCTGGCCCTGTTCCCCAGGTTCCCTTCCTCTGCCTTCATGGTGCCTTCTTTCTCTGGGCCTAGGGGTTAGAAAAGAGGAGGAGGCTATCTCCTAGCTGACCTCAAAGGATGGACAGACACAGGCCTGGGGGGGGTTACACCTTAGCAGGGGGAGTGTCCCGTCCTGGCAGCAATTCGAAAGACAACCGGCTGGGGCTGAGTAGCAGGTACCAAGTTTAGTGACTCACAGTGCCCTGAGGCCAAGCTTGGAGCACCCAGAGGACCAGGAGTAGCCTGCATGCTGTCTTGGCAACCTCTACTCTTTCCCTCTCCCTTAAACAGTCACCTGGCTGTGTGTCCCTACATCTCAGGCTTTGTCTGACCTGCTGCCATGGAGAGACAGCTTTCTACTCAGGATCTCTGGGGAGCCTCTTCCAATAAGCCTCAGCAGTCCCTGGGCAGAGCATGTCCCTGCCAGGAGACAGGCACTGGATCGCCAGAGACTCCAGCTCACTGCACCTGCCAGGTGCTTCTGCCCCGTCTGCTACATGCACCCAAGGCAAGGACACCAGGGTCCTGCCCTGCATCTATGCCACTGTGAACCCCTACTGATGATAGGGGAGGTGAAGGCCTCTCTGGTACCAGAATTGGGCCCATCTTTCTTCACCAAATGTGGCTGAGCTCAAGCCAGAGAGGCCAGCAGCAAAGTAATACACCTGGTAGCCCACCTAGTCACCCACCCACATCCCACTCCTAGCTCTCACAAACTGGTTTAACCCCTAGCTAGTTAGGTTTCTACAGAGGGTGCCCAGGCCAACCTTCCGTCGGAATCTTTATTCTCAAAGGGTGGGGACCAGGTCAGTTCCTCTGGAATGGAAGGTCACAAGCCTATCTGTACCCCCTTGGTTCAAAGACCTATACTAGGCACTGGGATGACTCAGACTCGGGCCTCAGTCTGGGCCACAGCCCAGCCTCAGTACATAGGGATAAAGGTGCAGGGTGTGAAGCGGGGTGACCAGGAGGCTCACGAGGCTTAGAGAGAAAGACCCAGAGACGCCCCTCCCCCACTCCCCCAGGACCCGCACACAGGCCGGTCCGCAAGGAGACGCTGGCGCTGGACCAGTGGGAGAGGGAGATCGCCCATCCTCCCATCCTGGGAGAGGCCCAGAGGGCCAGGACTGGCGCCCGTCCCTACCCCTCCGCAGCCCTAGGCGTGGCGGCACTGCCCAGCGACAGACAATCGATTATGGATTATTGCTATTATTGCTACAGGACTGGGTGACGGCCGGGGGGCGGGGTCGCGCCTGGACGCCAGCGGCATCGATGCCACAATAGGTGACAGCCAGCCGGGCCTCGAGACAGGCCGAACGGCGGAGTGCACGTACCTGCTTGTCTTCTGCGGGGTCGGGGTCGGGTCGGCGTCGC